TATCTGGCAGCGAATTTAATATGTATCATTTCTGGGCCCCTTCGGGCCCCAGAAGCTGACATATTAAATTTCACAGCGAGATAATGAAATTATTTTACAAATAATTTCCGTTATTGGCTGCTTCACATCCAATAACTATATATTATTCTTCCGTAACGGGGAAATTCTTCTGTTTTATTAATTGATGGCCGGAGGCCATTTAAATTTGCGATAAAAATTGTGATTAATAACACGAAAATCGTCATAAGAAAATGACAATGTTATTTTTTTTCATGTAAAAACGCATCATCATAAATTGCCGGATATCAACTGGACAAACGGTAATTTTGGCTGACACGTGCCACAAGCGGCACGTGCTCATTTGTCAAATTATACATCTAATCATCTAATATTTCTTTGGTTCTTATAATATTATTTGCTGCCGCTATAACCTAACGCTAAACCTAAAAATTTATTGAAAATCAAATGCGAATCCACCTGTAGTGTAATCTCTAGTTAAAATAAAACCGGTCATAATGTTACATTCTTAAGTGACTGACCAATCAAAAGAAAGTTATCATATATTTGTGTATAATTCTGAGACTTTAATTCAAACTGAGATTTAAAAAACGTTTAAATCTGTAAATTATAACCTGAATAATAAAGTTCTGTTTCAAGCAATTAGATCTTATACGTATTGTAAAGAAATAATTTACAAGGTAGAGAGATACTCGAAATTTTATTGAGATATGTATTTTGTATTAAGATTGCCGATCATTTAATTTTGATTACCGTAAATTCTCAAAATAGCGGGCATGGGCGTTATTCTGAGTTTTGGCTCGAATTAAGCTTAATTTAGGCCAAATTTCGTAATTTTACCCCTGTGCGTTATTTCGAGAATTTACGGTAACAGTTAACGTTAACGTTAACGTTAATTGTAAAGTTGACCAATAAAATTTCAATAATTATGTATACTTATTATGTAATATCTATTAATAAAATTCATTACGATTTGGTGATTTGGCCGAGTTGGTCTAAGGCGCCGCACTCAAGTTGCGGTCTCGAAAGAGGCGTGAGTTCGAATCTCACAGTCACCACTTACAAAAATTTTCTTTTTTTACATACGTACCAAATATTCATGACAGTTATCGAAATGCCTAACTGCTAAGGTTAAAATTTTTAGTAACCATGCACAACGTAACAATTATTTTCGTCTTACCGCGCATTAAGAGTGAACAACCAATAGTATTCAACTTTCAATTATCGTACGCTTTTATAGCTTTATATATTTATGTCTCTCATTCTTTCAACTCAACATAGAGAAAAAACTCACCCCATACGTTCCTTCTACATATAGAAAAAACCTATAAATTTTCCTGTCTGTTTATTATCTCTAATTCTTTTAAATAAAACTTCCATCGATTAAGGTAATACTTTAAAAGTTTGGAAATGGCAGCCATCGCCGAGCCTCAAAAAGTATGCCCTTTTCTTTGATTTCGATGTATACTCGAGTGTTGGAAAAAAAAAAAAAAAAGTCTATTTCTCCCATTGTCTTAAGGTTTTTATCTTCAATATTAAAAATGTTTTTAATCTTCAATTTTTATACTCGTAGATGAATCTTAATGGTTACGTAGGGTTTGATACCATCACCCGACAAATCGAAAAGAAATTACTGAAACGTGGTTTTCAGTTCAACGTCATTGTCGTTGGTAGGTTCTTTCAATATCAAGTTATTTATTACTTTACAAATACAAAATTCGTTTCAATACAACTAAATAACCCTGTCATAAAGTTATTTATTGACTCTTGCCTAAAAACTTGTGTGTTACAGGTCAAACCGGGCTTGGTAAATCAACCCTTATTAACACCATTTTTGCTGCTCATTTGATTGACAGCAAAGGTCGTACCAGTTCTGAAGAGCCTTTTAGACAAACCACCGAAATTCAAACCGTTTCACATTGTAAATTATAAATTTCTTCAATTGGTCTCGAGTTTTGTATATTATAAAAACGCGTCAATTTATTTCTATTTTTTTTTATTTTTTTTAGTAATTGAAGAAAATGGAATTCGTTTGAGGCTAAATATCGTTGATACCCCCGGATATGGTGATCAAGTCAACAATGAAAATTGGTTCGTTAATTTATCTCTTTCATTAAAAAAAAAAAAAAAAAAACCTTATTTAAAATTTTTTTTTTTTTTTCATATCTAACTTCCATATATATTCTATCATATAGTTGGGAACCAATTATTAAGTATATTAAAGACCAGCATAGTGCTTATTTGCGCAAAGAGCTAACTGCTATGCGCGAAAGATATATCCAAGATACGAGAATTCACTGTTGTTTATTCTTCATTTCGCCTACTGGTCATGCGTATGTATTCACATATATTATATCTTTGTTAAGGTAATTGAATTTTAATCTTTGTTATATTCCTGAATGTTAAAAGTCTTAAGCCCATTGATATTGTGGTGCTTAAAAAACTTTCGGAGGTGGTCAATGTCGTTCCTGTCATTGCCAAATCTGATTCTCTGACGATGGAAGAGCGGGTTGCTTTCAAACGAAGAGTATGTATTTTTTTATTTTTCCTCAAAAACTTTATAAACGATAGTTTTTAACAATATAATCTTACTAGTTAATAACTTATAATTACTTTATAATTTAATTCGTTAAATTTATTAGATAAAGTCTGAATTGGGTTTTCATAATATCAAGTTATATCCTTATGATAGTGATGAACTTGATGATCATGAGCGAGCTCTCAATGATAGCATTAAGGTATCATTTTTTTATTTTTTCTTAAAATTTTCTTTATTAATTTTCAATTATATAAATCCTCTTGTATTACTTATGTTTTATAGCAAATGATTCCTTTTGCAATCGTTGGTTCGGAAAAAAATGTTGTTATTGACGGCAAGTCCGTTCGTGGTCGAAGAAACAGATGGGGTGTTATCAATGGTATGCTTGTTATTTTGAATTTAATTTATATCAATTCTATGAATTAATGTAATTAATGTCTAAATATTTTTATTTTTGCTTAGTGGAAAACGAACAACATTGTGAATTCGTTCATCTTAGAGATTTCCTTACACGGTATTTTCATTTATTTAATTTGTGTTTCATTTTGATCATTATTTTTTAAAAAATATTTTCTAATTATTTTTAATTATTTTGTTATTTTATGTTGTCAAAAGAACCCACCTTCAAGATCTTATTGAAACTACCGCTCAAATTCACTATGAGGCTTTCCGTTCTAAGCAGTTGTTGGCTCTAAAAGAATCTAGTAACAAACAACAACAACAACAGCAACAGCAGCAACAAGCACAGCCTGTACAGCAACAAGTGGGTCCTGGTGCTCCCGTTATTTAATTATTATAATATTTTTTTTTATTAAGAATACAGAAAGGTAAACCGGGTATTATTGCTTCGAGGATTGTCATAGAACTGCCATCAAACTATTATGGTGTTTTGAACTGTTATATTATTATGGTAATTGAGTTCTAACGTCTTATTTTTAAGTCTGTTGGGTCTCAAATTTTATTTTTTATATTATTATTAAAAAAATAATAATAATATATATTTTTTTTTATTCGTATCGCACATATGTAACTGCGATTTTTATTTTATTTTTTTTTTTATTTTGCAATATTTTTTATATTAATAAAGTGATGTCCTATTGGATTGGACATAATATGCCATGGTTTTTGATACAGTAATTGTTTGCATGCTAGTATAATAGTAGTAAATATATTAGGTATATTGATTAATATAATCGTCAATTCTGATTTGATATTCGAATGCGAAAAAAAAAATTCATGCTTCCAAAAATTTTTACTTACGTACGCACGTACGTACGTATGTGCCCTACTCTGCTATCTTTGTATAACAATTATTATTCAAATTTTATATATTTTAAAATTATAGAAACTATGTTTTTAATTAAAATTTTAAACTAGGTTTTTTTTTTTAAAATAGAATTTTTAATAAGTTGTTTTTTTAATATACATATTATTTTAACTAAATTTTTAATTTAAATAAATAAATAGATTTTTCTTTATTCATTTTTTTTATTTGAAATTTTTAATCAATTAAAAAATAAATAAAATTCTTTTATAGTATAGATAGGTACAGTCTGACCTCGTTATAATCACCAGGTTGGGAAACAAAATTTTGGTGATTATAAAAGTTGTAACTAAATAAAGGTCAAATTTTATATGTTTTATAATAGCTAGACCAAAAAAATAGTGTGATTATAACAAGGTTGTGACTATATTGAGAGTGACTATTACGAGGTCAGACTGTACTATATTATCATGCATCACATGATTTATTTGTGCCAACTTTGAAAAAAAAATTTTAGAGGCTTCGTTGACTTGAAATTTTTTGTATTTGTGCTTACCAAGGTTCTATCTTTCAAGATCCAAAAATAGGCGAAAGTTCTACTAGCAACAATGCCTGTGCAGTATGTGGCAAGAATGACCTTCAAGAAAGGTTTCTCATACTGACACCAGATCTTTTGACCAAAGTTAAGCGAAGTCCAACGTTTCCCAATTTAAAGGTAGAACTTGGCTTATATGACCAATTGTGTCATCAACATTACGTCGAATTAGTTGCATTTGATAGAAACTTGAAACCAAATAGACGATGAAAATTCAGTTCAAATAGAAACTTGAAACCAAATAAACGGCGAAAATCTAGTTCAAATTTAATTTATGAGAAGGATATGGAAGGCGAAAGTTCCAATGAGCAATACAATATTGGAAATTGTTACGAAAATGGCATAGGCGTTCCTGAAGATGAGAGAAACGCATTTGAATGGTACTTGAAATCTGCCGAAGGTGGGAATTCTAACGGTCAATTAAAAGTTGGAAATTGTTATCAAAACGGTACAGGCATATCTAAAGACGAAAAGAAGGCATTCGAATGGTATTTGATATCTGCTAGAAGTGGAAATTCAAATGGAAAATTGAGTGTGGGGAATTGTTACCGAAATGGCATAGGTGTGCCTTATGATGAAAAGAAGGCATTCGAATGGTACTTAAAATCTGCTAAAAGCGAAAAT